GAGAGAGAGAGAGAGAGAGAGAGAGAGAGAGAGAGAGAGAGACAGACCATCGTTCAGTTGCGTCCAACATAAATGCATCACCTGTCATCTTTGTTTTTGCGGGCGAAGCCCCAACAGGTCACCTACTTCTGCATAGGTTTTGGTCAGAGATGGGAGGAGCTGAGCTTGCCTTTCGTGGTACTCTCTTAAACCACCAGTACGTTTCGCAGCTAGGAAATCAATGTCACGGCGTGCATGCTGCCATGACTCTCGGGGAGTACCGGGGTGCCGTTTCATGGTGCACATCCATCTAGGCGAAATGGGTCACATGCGTGGCCCGTTTGCCTGGATGGATGTCCAGCGGAGCGGCACCCGGGTACTTCCCGAGAGTTGCGGCAGCATGCGCATCTCGACTTTGACTTCTAGCTTGGAAACGTACTGGTGGCTTAACTTTGAGAGTCTTCGTCCCTGCGGATCCACTCCACTCTCACCTTTGGTAAACCCACTCTCACCTCCGGTAGTCTATTCGTACCTTGGGTAGTCCTCTCACCTTCGGTAGCCAGCCGTATGTCCGTATAGAAGAGGCTCGTTTGCACATGGCTCAACGTAGGATTTGTAGCGACAGAATCCACTGGCAGTTGAAGGTTAGATCTGTAGGGACAGAATGGGATGTCTAGTGGCGAGCTGGTAGGTGCAGGAAGGGACACGACTTGCGATAGGACTTAGGGCTTCAAGCCTGTACAGGACGCCGTCTAGGGGAAAATGGTCCAGAAAGCCAAAGTGGGTCATTTTAAACTTCGAGTGACTGAACCCTGGAGAGTACTCCTGCGCCTGATACCCCGCCTCTACAACAACCTCGGCCTTTTTTTTTTTTTTTTAATAAAAAAAGAGAAAAAAGAAAACCACCACTTAGCTTGCCAAACCTTGATGAAACTTTTCCAAACCAGTGGTAGGTCAGGTGCGCACCCCTACAAAACAAGTACCCCCCCTACAAAGAACTCTGCATGCGTAAGTGAGCAATGGTAAATAGAGTAGAAATGCAGTTAGACTCGAAGAAGAGAAAATAGAAAGGAAAAGAAAAGATGAATCAACTGAGAAAGGGACATGGAATGGGGAGGCTGAGGCTGATGACTGCACCCATAGGTCTGGCACCATCCATGGTCCAGGGTCCATTGCCTGGCAAACACAGCAGTGGCATGTAATGCCATATTCAAACCTAGCTTCCCTCTTTGTAGCTGGCTGTTAACTGTCGCCGGATTCTGTGAAAAGAAAGTCCTAATGTGAGTGCGCCCTGACACCGCCGGAAAATACGAATGATTTGCTGAATGAATCTGGCCGTCATCAAGGACAGATGGATAGATACTACATGCTAAAGAAGACGAGGAAGCTAAAGGAGAAGGCCTTTTCATTCAACTATCGAAGTGCCCTCCTTATGGCCCTCAAAATATCAGACGGCCATGAGGGATGGCACTTCCACTTCCTCTTGGTTTGTTCCATTTCTTCCGAACGCATCTGGCTGTTATTGCGGCAAGATCCGTTTAGCAAACCCTGCATTTGTCTTGTCCTTCCCCCCTGCACCCCTTTCCGGTCCCTTGGTTCTTTTTTATCTTTTCCTGTCCCCTCATGAAGATACAGCTAGGGAAGAGGGCTGTCAGAACAGTCAGGCAATTCATTGTGGACAGGTGACTGCTGTTTGGACTGCATCCATTGTAATTTCCAGTACCAGGAATATCAAATGAAATACTGGTGTGAGTGTGATGCTTTAACCCAAGTCAAGGCCGGGGAACTTTGTGGGGCCCGCAACGCACATGCTCGAAACCAAAATTTAACCGTTAACTGTTACACGGAAAAAATTCCAATTGCGGTCGGGCGGGAAGAATTATCAGGGCGTAGCGGAAAGTTGCCGTTGCAGGTGCAAACAGCTGCCTCATTAAACCGCCACCACTGCCTTTCACAGGCGAGAACTCGAGAAAGACCGGTATAGCCTACACCGCATTCTTGGGGTGAACAGTGCACAGTGCTACTGGACTAAGATCGCTTGGAGTATCAGCCAAAATAACAGAAACGTCGCGCTGGCGCTTTGGCCAAGCTTGGCCCACAGTGCTTTTCCGCCTCGGCAAAAAGAGGCATGGAGGTTGTGGTGGTTTGGAAACAAAGGAAGACTCTGTCCTTGATAATGACTTTCCGCTGACTTAATGGGCAGCCTTCTTTCGTGTATTGTTCCTGTGTCCAAGAAATGTGTGCACTCGGTAGCGCATGTTTGTATTTGTATGCCCCTGCACATAGCGTGCACACGTTGCTTGCGTACTCAGCACAGTTGTACCACAACGGCCGTCTTTCTCTGAATATATCGTACGGTCATTATGCCTGCATTTGGGGCAACCTTCGGTCAAGATATAGCGATAATCACCATGTGTTCTATTTGGGGGAAGACAGTATGGTTTACAGGCGACTGTCGTGCGAGTCCTACAGAGTGATTAAACCACCTGCACGTTTCCCGGCTCTATCAATTTCTGACAATAGGCTCATCATGAACGAATTCGTCCTCGTGCGAGCGGCCCCCCATACATCTCAGCACGTTGACGGGCAGATCTCTGAAAGTGTTGGAACTCGTTGCTCTTCCTTGACCCTAGATTTTTCTTTTTTTTTTTTCTTTTTTTCTTTTTTTTTTTCTTATTTTTATGCAACAACCCAGGTAGATGCTAGTGATGTTGATAGGAGCAAACACCACTAGCATGCCCGGGGAGGCTCCATCTATTGGTGGGGAGCAACACCTGCTGGAAATCAGGTCCAGCGTCTATGGGCAGGGGTACTTTGTGTTTGTGGAGGCCATTGGGTTGGGTGGACAAGGTCATCGAGTCTGCAATCCGATGGTTGTTTAGCTGCAGCGGCAAAAGTAGGATGCTGCTGCCTGTTTAGTATGGCATCTGTGGCAGAGATGTCCACCAGTGTTGTGGATCCTATCCTGCTCGCGGCCAGGTAGGTACATTGAGAGAGTGGATTCCGCATGTAGAGCCACCCACTCTGCATATACTTTCAGTCTGTATATAGAGCCACAAGTTTCCGTAGCAGTGTCCGAGTAGTGGCGGTTCAAACCACTACCCCTCCAGCCATTCTGTTCGGCTGTGGCGGTTGGGGGGCTCGACCTACCCGAAGTAAACGGCCGGCGGTGTAAGGCAAAACAGTTTGTTTTTCTTCTGACATTCAGCAGAACTCACGGTCAGGTAATAGAGGCTAGGAGGGACTGGTGGTTTGAGGGGTTCGATGAGATGTGAAGTACTTGCTTTCCATAGCTTTTCCTAGCTTGAAATCTATAAATAGAGTTGATGGCCTCCACGAGCTAGCATGACAAACATTGCAACGCTTGGGCTGCACCACGAGTTTTCTGACCCTGTACATAGCTCAGAATTGCGACGGTGTTCCCATTCTGTGTAGTTTAAAGGGAGTGATTGGCATGCATCATTGTTTCCAAGCTTTTACTACTACTTCTGGCTCTGGCATGGAATGTGCCTTTTTTTATTGGACACATTGACAAAGTCGCGTGTTCAGTTGCTGCTTCGCTTTTACTTCTCGGTTCTGAAAACCGAGCTGCCACCCGCTATCAAGCAGAGTAGTGGCAATAGCTGTTTTGCGGCTCCCTGCATCAATCGCATCCTGGAAATCCAGAAAAAAAAACTTGAAAAAGGGCAGCCAGAACTGGATGTGGCTCCTCTGTTTTTATTGGTTTGTTTATTGTTTTAGTAAATTTAAAAAATGAGAAGCATGTTATATTAATTATGGACTCTAGGGTCTTAAACCACCAGTACCTTCCCGTATATCGGCCGTGGGCCTGAATTTGCCCTGCACGCCAGGAAAAAACGAACCGACAGGTATATGTCTGGCTGGCGCTGCCAGCCATTTCGCTGCCGGCCTGAACTTCCGTGGGAACCACGGCGGTATTTTTTTTTCAACCGGGGGAAAAGGTACTGGTGGCTTATGCCGAATACCTGGGTGCGAAGGGTTTGTGACTGTGCAACCCCGATCTGCTTGCTGTCTACTGTCTTCACCTGAACCGTGGTTCGTAGCCACGTGCTCTAATCCACTGAGCTACAGGCCCCATGCCATTCCGATCGATGGGGAGTCAAAAAGATCTAATGACTGAACACCCGGTCATTATAGCCGTATTTGGGGCAACTTTCAGACCAGATGCAAATATAATGACCGGGCATTCTGTTCGGGTGAAGACAGTAGTTTGCGACTATTCTTGTTGATCACTGCAGAGCGCCAAGTTGATGGGCGATTATTTATGGGTAATCACTGACTAGTTTAATGAGGATGGACAATTTCCAAGTAGTAATTAGTAATGACTAATTAGTGACTGCTACTTGTTAGCTTGTCACTAGGATTTGTCTTTGTTCTCTCTTCGTTCTGCTCTCCAGTTCGATTCGTATCAATCATATGCTTTGAGCTTCCACTGCCGAATAGAGCATTAACGATTGTGCGACATTGCTGACTTGCCTGCCCCTCGGATGTGTGTATCGGGGTCTTCTCGTGACAGGTCCTTGCTGTGATTAAAGTGGAGTTTGTGGGAGCATCTGCGGACTGCTCCACGGTGTAATTGTTGCGCCGGTACCGAATTCGTGGAGCTGTGAGTCTCGTATGCTATAACCCACGACTAGTTGGGGTTGTATCTTTTATATCTATTTTGTTTACGAGACGGTCGAAATTGGACGAGGCTAGCCTCACTTCCCATGGTCCTTTTGTCTTCTGATCACTTCCACTGATCAGTGGTGTTGCTGTATGAAGGCGAGGGTGGCTGCTGCAGAACGAATGTTTGATAGAAAGGCGGTGATTGCATGTAATGCGACGAAGAGTTGATGATGGTCAGTGCGCATGCTGACGCCTGGTGGATGATTGGTTTCTACCAAGTCTTGTTGTTCAGATTACGGATCTGGGCTCCGAATGCTTGCACTTGCACCCATGTACTCACAATAATTGGATATAGTGAATGACAGGAAGTACCTGTAACTTTGCGGAATCCGGAGGGCGCGTGTTCTCATCCGGAGACCGGTTCTGCTGAATCACAAAGGTCAGACGGTGTAGCTGCTGTGGTGATCAGGCGTCTGTTTGAGCTGAATCTGTAACATAGCCTCTCTCTGCCGTTGCATACCTGGGGTAGAGGTTGAATTGCTACCGCTGAAAGTACAGGACTTGACAGCGAGCTGCATCAATACAGCAGGTGTCTGCTTGATTAACAAGAACTTGGCATCGAGCTGTGCCCACATACAGCGGTCGTCTTCGTTTGGCTGTTCTGCTTATCGGAGGAGGGTAGCGGCGGCAAAACCACAATGGGGGAGTGTGGGGAAGAGTATGGATACGGGGCGAATCTGGATCTGGGTGACATTATGGGTGATGGGGAGGGATTGCATGATGAAGATGTTAGTGATGAAGATATCGACATCGATGAATTGGAGAGAAAGATGTGGCGTGATCGACTGAAGCTGCGGCAAATCAAGGAACTGCAGAAAGCCAGGGAGCTCCAAGACAAGCCACGACAGAAACAGTCGCAGGAGCAAGCGCGGCGGAAAAAAATGTCTCGTGCACATGATGGAATCCTCAAGTACATGCTGAAAATGATGGAAGTCTGTAAAGCACAGGGATTTGTCTACGGAATCATCCCAGAGAAAGGAAAGCCAGTGGGTGGCAGCTCTGAAAACCTACGGGCGTGGTGGAAAGACAAAGTGCGGTTCGACCGCAATGGCCCACTTGCTGCTGCAAAGTATACAGCTGAGCATGCCCAGAAAAAGATCGAGGGCACAGAATCTTCAACGACCGCCTTGCACTCTTTACAGGAACTGCAAGATACTACTCTGGGATCACTACTGTCTGCGTTGATGCAGCATTGTGACCCAAAACAGAGACGTTTTCCTCTCGAGAAGGGTGTTGCACCCCCTTGGTGGCCAACTGGTGACGAGGATTGGTGGCCGCAGATCGGCTTGCCCAAGGGCCAAGGTCCTCTTCCTTATAAGAAGCCACATGATCTCAAGAAAGCATGGAAAGTTGGAGTTCTGATGGCAGTAATCAAGCACATGTCGCCAGACATATCCAAGATCAGGAAGCTGGTAAGGCAGTCAAAGTGTCTGCAAGATAAGATGACAGCACGAGAGAGTGCCACATGGCTTGGAGTCCTCCAGCAAGAGGAGGGGCTCGCACGCCGCCTGATGAGCGGCGATGCGTCGAAAGGCGATATGATTGAGGATGGCGACGGTCCGCCAGGCCAACCCAAACCAGCATTACCGGCACCGCCACCAACGCTGAACACGGGGATTCTGACAGTAACTGCGGTACGGGCGCCGAGTGCCAGAGACGGGACACTTGCTGCAGGGACCTCAGGAGGCGACTATGATGTCGAGGGGTTCGCTCATATGCTGCCTCCCAGACAGATCACGATGGGAAGTGGAGACAAGGGTGACCTGGAGCAGCAAGAGGGGGGCACTTATGGCTCTGGTGGTGGCAATATAGGAGAAAGGGAAAATGCTGGTGCAATAATCACCGCACCCTCGGCAGAGGAGCCTCATCAGGTTGACAGTAGCATGCCAAATAGTGGAAGTGGAAGTGGAAGTGGTGGTGAAGCTGGGGTTGGAGGAGGAGGTGGCGGTGGAGTTGGTAATGGGGGTGGCGCTGGAGCCGAAGGTGGAGGGGGCAGTAGCGGTAACGGCAACAGTTCTGGGAATGCGCCGCCGGAAGAAATAGTGAGACCGGGCAACACAGGAGGTGTGGGCATGAGTGAGATGCTAATGGCTGCCAGGGACAGCGAGGACGTCAATGAGCAAGGAGGGTCTGTGAAAAGGCGGCGAGGTCCCGGTGGAGAGCCGATGCCTCCAGAGCGGCAGGTGCTTGCATGCCCCTACAAGCAATGTCCACATCATGAATGGACAAATGCATATACAACAGGCGAAATGTGGAAGATGCACGTTTCGTCTTGTCCGTACAAGCCACTTGATGGGGGCATTATTGCTGGTGCGCAAAGCGTGATGACCGACCCCATAAGTGTGCATTCCCAACCGCCCCCTATTAGTCAGATGGGCCGGATGAGCCATGCAGTGCAGCAGGGAGCTATGGGTGGTTCTGGGGGTGAGGGTATGTTCTCGAAGAGTCTGTCGGAGCTGGGTCCGCGCATGCAGAGGCAGCAACAGTCGATGGGTTTTAACCTTGACAGGGACATGCAGCTGGGACTGCAAGTTCCTACACCGGTGATCGGACATCCGGTGCCGATACCCAATGGTAACCGAAGTGGCAACCGAGAGATGAGTGGGTCGGCGAGCGCGCATCGGCCAACGGTAGCGCCAGCAACGGAGGTGGGACGGGCTCATCAACCTTCAGGAGGGCCACCAACCCGTCACCTGCACGATATGTTTGCAGGCCTTTGTGGAGAGGGTGGGACTAGCAGCCATGGAGTAGTACAGTCCAGTAGTCATGGGATGGGACCGTCCGGTACCCATGGTGTCACACAGCCTGGGAACCACGGTGTAGTTCCATCTGGCTCTCTGCAGCCTGGAAGTCATGGGCCTGTTTCATTGGATGTGGAAGGTGGGGTTGGAGTCCAGAACCAGCACCATCAGCACCAGAGGCATCCACAACATCACCACGGCGGCAGCAACAACAATAACAACAACAACAGCGGTAGCATGAGCAATGACGTGCGCTCAGGGATGGGTGGAGGAGGAGGAGGGGGAGGGGGAGGTGGACCAAGCATGGTTGGGATGAACTCCCCTAGGCAGACCCAAGGGCAAGGTCATGGCCAGGATCAGGGACATGTGCAGGGTCGCATGGACGGGGATAGATCGGTAGGTCGGAAGGTTGGCATGGAGCAATGGGGAGGAGGGAATCAATACAACATGTGGATGAAGCGTGAATCGTGGAAGATGAGACCTGGTGCTAGTTCCGGACCAGGAACCGGATCCGGCATGGACTTCATGCTCGAATCATCGTACCCCTTGGGTGAGCAACAAAGGCAGTGGCTGGACCATCAGTAGATTCTAAATTCATCTCCAATGTGCTTTGTGTAACTCATGATGACGATCACACGAATCAATTCTCAAAGTGCGGTTTGTGATTCTGCCAGAACAGGATCATGAGCGGACAAATGTTTGGGTGACAACGAACTGAAGCAGGGGACTGCCAGGAGAACACCCAAAGTGGCCGCGTTAGAAAATGGCACGCCATTGTGCTTAGGTGGATCTTGATGGATTGTGAAGCTCCTGCTGACTCCGGTTTAGCATGAGTGTGCTGATCTACGCACGTGGACACTGGATATCTGGCAAAAAGCAGTGGATCTTTTTGATTGATGATCTCATTCCTAGCAACCCAAGGCCCAATAGAGTCTTTAAGCAGGAAGTATGACAAAAGACTGGGCGGAGGCCATAGCGCCAGGGATGTATTGCTAATGGCCTGGGATGTGTGTGGTCATTACTGTCAAAGACCCGGTGCAGTCTATAAGTCTGAGGCAGATTCTGAAGCAGCTAACTGTGACAGAGCTAAAGGCTGTGCTATGGACCAGGCCTACATGGCTAGATCTGTGGCACAAGGCCTCTCTTCAAAAAAAGGCGATGCTGACGCAGTGAAAGCTATACGATGAGTGATGGCTGAAGCCCGTGGTGCGGACTTTGGACGGGTGTTGTGGCTCTACACCTGTACCACAGAAACTGCAAAGGGGGGGGGGGCGTATCAGTGAACTGTTGTGCTGTGCTCCTATGGTTATAAATCGCATGGTGGATTCGGAACAGAAAGGTTCTGGCGTGGCGGCATTGCTGTGTGCATCTCTCCTGTGAAGTGGTTTCTTTGCGATCCGCTCGGAGACGGAACAACGAACAGAGCAACGACGACTGCTGCCTCGGGATTGACTTGGCCGCCAGGAGTCGTTTTTTTATCAGCCTACCAGAGGACTGAGCGGCTGTACTCTGCCACCGGACAGGTTGGAGCTGTGTTCGCTTGTGGGGTTTACTGTTGAAGCCTTCAGTGTGCGGTTGCAATTCTCTGAGCCCGAGGACTTGTCTGTCCGTCTGTTGTCTGTCTGGCTGAGTTGCCTCTGTTTGTCTGTCTGCGTGTTGGTATGCTTGCCTGCCCACCTGCGTGTTTTTGTTTATGTTTATTTCTGTGTGTATATGCGCTTGTGTGGCCGTGCATCTGTCTGCATTCCCAAAGAGTAAAAGGATGTGTGATGCACCGTGCCTGGGCTTCTGTATGTAAATCTCCATGGCGGAAGAGCGATTGTGGAAGGCCAACGTTGTTGAAGCTAGTTGGGGTGATGTAGTCTCTAACAAGCAGTGCTGGTCTGTGACACGCTCTTCCAGCCTTTACCGTCTGCGTGCAGCCTTCAGCTGATGATGTGCTGTCTGTTGATTGTTGTTGTTATTTGTCGTCCAAACTGTTTATGACCCACCTTAGCACCCTTCGTGATGCCATGCGACGGCAGCACTTGGCCTGGTTGGCCTGCTTGAGATGGATGTGTACCTGTCAATGTGACGTATAGACAGAAATACGACGGCATCATGATGTTTGGTTTGCTCACTTTGTGCTCTTGGTCTGTCTGTACCCCTTAGACTTATATTATATGTACTGTTCTGTGGATATTATGGGATTGCAAATAGTTATGGGTTAGACAGGCATGTTGCAAACAATGGTTCCTGGGGCAAATGTCGCAGAGGGCTGCAGTTTGAAGAGAGAAAGATACCCTGTTGGGGGTAATTCATCAAGTGGCCCATCGACTGGAAGAAGGGTCCTGCGGACGACTTCCTTCAAGGTGAATGGGGGCCAGGTGTGCTGAGTTGGGAAGGGGGAGGGGAGGCAATTCTCCTTGTCAAAAACACGTCGAGGAGTAGAAACGGGTCAAGCTTGCGAAGAGGGAAACGGATCCGAAGAAGGCATTCAGAGGAAACAGAGCTCAGTAGAAATGTTTAAGTGGGTGAAGCTTGCTGAGTCGCAAAGGAAAGGTGAGTGTTGTTCTCAACGATACTCTTCAGTCGAGTGGAAACTGCCTTGAGAAGTTAAGAATGGATCAGAAGGAACCCGACTCCTCCTGGAGTTCGACGAAGCTCGTGCTGAGGAGAGAGGGCAGCTGGCAGAGGAGGGGTGTGTGGTTGCCGAAACAACTCTCGCTTATTATTGGTTTTGTGGTTGTGAATTATTGGTTTTTGTTGTGGGGTTGCTGTTGTTCCGCGAGGAGTGCTTCTGGCTGCAAATCCCCGGCCTTCACGCCTGCAAGGGAAGTCTGGCTGGTCGGTTAGACACGAGTAGCATTCATTGTTAGGAATCGAATAGGACGCAGATGATATTGCTTTGGTTGACGGAGCTGTCTTGCACCCTCTGCAGGAATCCCGCTTGTTTTTTGTACCCTCTTGTAGGTACGTTACACGATGGGCTTGTTAAGGGCCCATTTTTCCCGCGTCCCTCTCATTCCCGCCGCCTTTGTGTCCTCCCTCTCCCCTCACAACCATCATCTTACCATGTAGCTGGCCGCGCCTACGTTGTCAATCAATGCCCATATGGTTGTGTGCTATGGTTCCATCTGCTCGGTAGAGAATTTTGGTGCCACAAATTGTGGCACATAAGGCATGTGCTGCATGTGTGTGTGTGTGTGTGTGTGTGTGTGTGTGTGTGTGTGTGTGTGTGTGTGTGTGTGTGTGTGTGTGTGATGCGGAGAGAGAAAGAGAGAGAGAGAGAGAGAGAGAGAGAGAGAGAGAGAGAGAGAGAGAGAGAGAGAGAGAGAGAGAGGAACGTGTATTGGGGGAGAGGTGGGTTGGGGGAGCAGGGGGGAAAGGGGGCTAGGTTGAGAGAATTGTCTCGTTGCTGTTTTGATATCGACTTCGGATGTGCAAGCCGAGCTTAATGGCTGCAGATTGGCATTTCAGGAACCGCTATGGGGTTAAGTGTTTTTGCGTCTTTTTATTCCTGTTTGTGCTTTCCTCTGCTGGAAAGCAGCTACGGGGCTGTGATTAAACCTTTTAGCATCTGCAGTCGTACCGCAGTGAACATTGCTATGTGAGAAAGGGGGTGTGGGTGTTTTGATCTGTGTCTTTTGTTTTTGAAATTGTCCTGTTTTGCCCCTCTCTCTGTGCCCAGTTCGCCGTTTACCCTCGCCTTTCCACTGCCTGATAAACATCTGATCACCACTTTGGATTGTGTGCGGATATCGTTGCTAAGGGGAAGGATGCTGCAGGCCTAAATTGTACGAGGGTATGCTTCTGATTCTCTCATCACCACTTTGAATTGTGTGAGGATATTGTTTCTACGGGAAAGGATGCCGCGGGCGTAAATAGTATGAGAGGTATGCTTGCTATGGGCAGGCGTAACTTCATGCTGTGGTGTACTTTATTGGAGTTGTCGGGAGAATCTTCTCAAAGCTGTAGGGACAATCTCCTCGGTCTGCGATTCCTCGAAACAAGGTGCGAGGTGCAGGTAGGTCTTTGTCGGTATCCGCCCTACTGTGGCTCCTGCTTTTCTGTTTTTCCTCCGACTTAAAACTACTGGTTCAGACGCCAAAAAAAAAAGGAATCCAGCGGCCTAGTATGACCGATGGGCATACACTGCCGAATATATCATATCATTGAATCATTCAATGAACTGGATCGGAAGAAGGAGGATGTCCGTTTCGTTGTTACATGGCCATATGCTCAACCCTCTCTTTTCTGTCACCTTCGTATCCGTCTCCAATGCCTCTCCTTTCTGTGGCCTTCTCATCAGTCGCCTACGTCCATCTCCTTTTCGGTTGCGGGTTCTCATCTAACTTCTCGTCCGTGTCCTTGCATCCCTCTCCATTTTGTTGTGTGCGCTTTCTCATCCGTCTCCGATATCGCTCTCCTTTTGGTTGCCGTCCGTGTCCTCGTATCCCTCTCCTTTTTGTTGTGTGCGCTTTCCATCCGTCTCCGATATCCCTCTCCTTTTGGTTGCCTTGTCATCTTTCTCTGATGTCCTTGTCCTTTCTGCTGCCTTTTCATTTGCGTTCGCCTTTCTTCTCTGCTGTTGCTTTTTTTTTATTCGAGTTCGTCATTCTACTCTTGTTCATCTACGATATCTGTCTCCTCTCTTTTGCCTTCTCATCTGTCTCCTCTCTCTTTCTTTCTTGCTTTTTTTTCTCTCTCTCTCTCTCAGTTTCACCTTTCACTATTTACCTACCACTATTCCTTAAGCCTATACAGGGTACCATTGCAAGCATAGCTACCCCTCACAAATAAGGCGATGCATGTTGCCCCCCGCCCTAGTCGGCGGTGGTCAGGGAGCAGGGTGGGGCCGCCGGTTGGGGGGGGGCGGCTAACACGAAGACCGAGTATTTTGCCAGTAGCTGCACCTCCCGTTTACTTCCCCCATTCCCCATCCACTAGCAGCAGTGGCTATGGCCAATACTCTTCCACACAACCCACTCACGCTCACACTCACACCCGTGTTGGTCACAGACCCTCTACTAATACCGATCAGGAGTCTCAAGCAGACTATCACAGTTGGTTGGCGCTAAGTGCCGGCAGGCGGTCATGGGTTTCGAATGCCCAACCTCCTCGGTGCCAGTTGCTCTTTTGGCACTAACCAACTGAGCTAGGCCGCTGGATTCCTATCTCTTTTTTCTATCCATCTGCTCTGTTTTTTTTTTTTTCCCCTAAAAAAAGTCCTGGTTGTTGTAGAGGCTGGCCACCCGGCATATGACAGTCCCTTCAGCTGTTGGCCATTTGATCATCCAGATTATTTTCTATACAGGCCCCCTATGAGACTCCCTCCCACCCTTACTCATCATTACTGTCACTGGCGGCGGGTGCATCCCTAATCCCAAGGTCCTACCTTAGTGTTCTTACCACCCACCATCTGCTCTCTGTTGTAGTGTCGTCCGTCTTCAGTGCTCGTCTCTTCTCTGTTGCCTTTTTGTCCTTCTCTGATATCAACGACACCACAAGCTGCTGGGGAACGGTGATGGACCGTCCAGTGCATCTCTGATATCAACAACATGTCGTCTTCCGTGTCTCTTTCATGGGCTGCCCGAACTTTGCAGCTCTGGCATTGCCGCGGCGGATCCACTTGTATCTGTAAAATAATATGTGCGTACGAGTCTACGAGGTGAAAGCCCGACACTTCCGAAACCGTAAACGTGAGAAATAAAAAATCCGGGCCGGAGGCGATCTGGTACCCACTGCCCAGGTAGTCGCCTGATCTTAAGATTTTCGCGTGATGATCAGGCCCATCTATTCGTTAGCACTGCGCCAACGGCCCAGATTGAAGAAAATTGGCATACTGTGCAGGCAAGCCGTATCAGTGCCTTTTGGAAAGAAAGGCCTGGTTGCCTCGCCTAGGGGTGGATGCCGCCAACGCCGCCGGTCATTTCCCTCATGCTGTTCGTTTCCCTCGTGCACACACAAGTACCTCAGCGGAACACGCACACAACCATGCAATCATGCAGACAGGCAGACATACAGAAACTCAGCGATCATGCGCACACGCAAACTTAGGAATCTCAGCAAAATATGGGAATCTCAGCACGTCTCTCGAACAAGCGCCAAAACTCGGAAGACATCAGGTTTCTCAATATGCGATTTCGCAGGTAGTTTCCCCAACCTGAAATCAACGGAACCGAAGCACTGACGAGTCGGTCATTGGGTTACCTCCTTTCAGAGCAACGCCCCTTCGAGCAACTAGCCTCCTCAGAGTCACTGCAAAATGCATCATATATATAAAATTTATAAATGCAAAGAGAGTTGGCAGCTGTTCATGCAGAGTAAGCTGCAGATGTCGTTTATAACTTAATAGGCATTTACAAAAAAAAAAAAAAAAAAAAAAAAAGGTATTTACCATGCGAGGTGCAGACTTTAGGAAGGCTTTCCATGTTATCCAATAGAGTTTGTTAAACCACGAGTACTTGGCCCAGTTATCGGCCGTGGAACAAAAATAGAGTAGAAATGTTTCTAATTGCACGAACTTGGCCGCTCCTGTAGTGACCTGTGCGTTTCCTTAAATTGTGGCTTGTTAACGGACACAACTTTAGGACGTATTGGTGGTTTAATAACAGGATTATAAATAAAATGGACTTGATATTCTCTGCCACATATTTCTGCGCAAGATTTCTTCATATTAGGCCAGTCATATTGCTGTGATTAAGTTGAATCAACGTCCGTAAAGCGTAGCGAAGCCGCAAAGTGTTCGCTCCTACCGTGTGCCACATCCAGTCTGATCCAGAAGTGAGTTCGGAAAGGCTCATGGTTTAGCAACACACAGTCTACCGAGCTTCTCATATGTGCGGAACAACAGAGCCTTCCTTATACTCGCAGTAGTCGGGCTGATTGTTGGGATCAACCTCAATCTACTCATGAGGAGCACTGGACCGTAGCATGGATCTTTGGCGGTGTGCTCCACGGAAATCCTTCTTTACTTTCCGTTGAAGGTCGTACCAACTGCACGAGGCGAATCATAAATTCAGGTGACGAGACAAAGCATTAAACCTCCAGTACCTCCTAAAAGTGCTACGCGTTAATGGGCGTGGCTTTTGGGAAGAACGGGCCTGGGACGGTAGGCCAGATTCAGCCAAGTGGAAATAGCGCGATTTTTCCACTTTTGGCTGGTGGTTTAACAACTCGATTATAACATCCTTTCTTCTGTTTCAGTTCAAAATCATACATATCAATTTCATGCCGCCAGCAGGACAGTTTTGTAGACTAAGTTAGTTTAAGATTGTATCAACAACTGCAAGGTTTCATGATGTGAGAAAACCTCGAAGCGGCGTCCGAGAAGGTAGTCCTTCCAATGCTCAAGTCTCTCCGCCGAGGCATAAAACTCTCACAGCCCCTCGTTTGTTGTCCTCTTCTCCCTCTCTGCCTACGGTTTACTGTCGACAGCTCTGTTTGACGATATATGTGGAGCTTGCTACCATGTAGCTCGACATGTATTTGCTGTTATAATCGACCGGACGTGGTCCATTGCTATCATTTTGTTGTAGAACTGCACCAATCCCGTGTTGGTTCGCAACTGTAGTAAGTAGTAACTACAAATGTGAGTTTAGGATCTTCATTGTGGATGTGGTCCGTTGTCATCATTTCGTTGTACCACTGCGTAAATGCCATATTGGTTTGCATATATATTATATATATATATATTATAATATATATATGTCACAGCCCCTCGTTTGTTGTCCTCTTCTCCCTCTCTGCCTACGGTTTACCGGGCAGTTCTATTTGACGATATATATATACATATAGTGATGTGACAATATATATATAACTACAAATGTGAGTTTGAGATCTTCATTGCGGATGTGGGGTCCGTTGCCATCATTTTGTTGTAGCACTGCGTCAATTCTATATTGGTTTGCATTTGTAGCAACTACAAATGTTAGTTAGGGATCTCATTGCAGA